GCAAAACTAATTTTCTCCAAATTGTAAACTTTATCCAAGACATTCTTCGAAATCAAAGGTTTTTGTCTCACTCCTGAATACAGATCGCTTTCCAAAGTAACAGCTCTATGCAATCTATGAATTAAGTGGCGATCTCTGTAAGAGCGGTCCTGGGCATTTCGCATCGGAAAAAAGTTTTCCCTCAAACTTTGCCCAATATACTATCTTTGGTAACAAGTAAATAAAACCACTTTAGTTTCTGGAAATACGTTAAAATAAAATTTTTAGACCTCTCAAAAGTGAAAGCTGCAAAAAAGGCCCTTTTTTGACCCCTGCGACATCATATCACCAGAATTCTGATCCAAAAGGCGATGTTATCGCTGCTTTATTACGAAGAGAGAAGCAATTTAGGACAATTACACAATTGAATTACGTGACAGAGGTCACGGTGTATTTCAGTGAGTGCTGTTATCGCCGGTTACACCAAATAGAATACTGTGGTTTGGTTTTGAAATGTTCATACAGGTTTGAATAGCGTACGCTGTCAGAACTCAAATATGAAATAACAGAAGCCAAATTTTTAAAAAAGAGTTTGCGAGCGCTAATCAAATTATGATATTCGATAGGTTGTTGTTGACGTCTTTCGTCACGAGATAATAAAATTTGTCAAATTTTGGCGTTTTAAAATGTTTAAAGTGTAAATCGGTGTGGTCTTAAAGCTCTGTCCTGCTACATTTTCTACTTAAAATGGTTAAAATCTAAGATTTAGTGAGCTACTAATATAAAACGGTCGGAGTTTGCTCAATGAACTAATTTGCATAACCGGCTGTCACGCTAGCAATACCGCTAACAGTTTGAAGAAAATCAACAAGTGCTAGATTTTTTATATTTTTCTGCTGCCAAACATCTTATTAGCAGAAATCAAGCGGAGTTTTTAATGGTCTGGTCTGGACTTGAGCAAATCAATCAAGAAAGAAAGAGTATTTTTGACCAATTTCAGAAAGCTGTCCAACGAGTGTTTTTAAATAAACTATGACGAGCCTCTGAATAAACGAATATCAAAATTGAAATGCATTTTATACACCTTATGTATCACACAGTTTAAGAATACAAAATATTTTTTGCTGCATGCGAAAATTCTGCTTTCTTTTTCAGTCTTTCGTTTGGCTTACACTTCCTTATAAACTCTCACTTTCCGCCATCTATTTCCCTCCAATTTTTTTTCGCGCGCGTAGCCGCGTAGCTCTTAATAACCGGAATAAATCTGCTTTCAGAAACGTTATTTTTCTCCTAGATTAGCTATCCTAGGTGTGGAGAACTTTTGTGACTGTAGCGTGACAAGTCGTCACGCTAATAAACTTGTGATTATTGTTTTGTTTTAGCTATTGTTGATTTCATCTCGAGTTTCAATCATGTGATATATCGTTTCCGGTAAGAAACACGTGATCTTTGGAATCTTTTTGTGATCACTGGAGTGAATTCGGAACAATAAATAAACAGAAAACTTGTGGATTTACGTGAGTCTTCAGTGTCTCTGGGAATCAGGAAATTCCCCACATAGGGATAAGAAATTTAATCGTCGATTAACCTCTACTCGAGGGATAATTTATCGGCTTTCGAACAACTTGACTTCTCTTGAAATAAACTGCAAAAAAAAAAAAATAATAATAAGAAGGGCTTATGTTTTGAGGGGTTTTGACAGTAGTATATCTCGGTGGTATAGCGAGTAGACTGTATCTTGTACCACGTGACCTAAATTGACCAATTAAATTGCAGGAATGGCAAAAAGGTAAAAACGCAATACCCATGGAATGAGGTCACAAGAAAAAGGTGTCACATTAAGGAAAACATTAAGGTCACGCTTTCTTAGCAACGAGGGTGAAATTTCACGCAATACTCAAGGAATGACATCACGCTGTCACGTCGAAAATTAAGACATTAATGTGTGCAAATAAACGTTTTTCATTTTACATAAACAAAAATTCCATGATGCCATTTAAATTGGAGAAAGCAAAACTAACTATTGGGATGACATGGTGTTTATTTGAAACCAAAACAGAATCATGTTTTGATGTTTTTCAGTCAACTGACAAGAGATGCAGTGATGCAAAGGCGAGAGCTATTGGAAATGCAGTTTCTTTATTTCTCTTAAATCTGTTTAAGTTTTTTCCAGCATACTCATGGGTGGTTCAGCACGACAGTAAGGGCTATTAGGTTAAAGTTTTTGGTCTTTCTAGGAATGGAACCAATCAAGTAGACACGAATCTGAGTGTATAGGTTGTTTACAACATGGAATTTGTCCCAATTCATCTTCGTTTGTGCAAATTATAAAAATCTTCCGGTCATTTTCATTTTAAATAAATAAAATAAACACGTTTTTTATTTTTACAATCCAAAAAAACTTATATGCTCTGCGAATTGGCAGAAGCAAAAATAATATTGCGAATGGCTTCTATGTTAGAAGCTAAATAAACAGAAATGAGGCGTTGCTGGTCCCAATCACACGTTGTAAATGTACCATCTTCCCTTCTAGAAAGGTAGACAAACATGGGGAGAAGTACACAGCAATAATGAAGTCGTCATCTTGAGCGAAGAAAATGCTTTCATCCCAAGTCCTGTTTCGGATTTGATATCTCCTTTCGACTCGCTCCCATCTGCTCTGATCACAAATGTTTTTCATAGATGGTGGGTTTCTTGAGGGTCTGTCTTATTCAGGTGAGTGGTGGCTTTGCACGGCAGTATGGGCATGACGGTTCGTTGTTTTCTTCTTGTTGTTATTTAAACCAATCTAAGAGGCACGTTTCTTCGTGAATCGGTTGCTGATAGCAGGGAGTTTTGGATAGATTGCCATCGTTACCACAAATGAGACATATCTCACGGTTATAGACATCTAAAAGTAAAAGATGAATCAAATGAGACGTGATTCACTGATGTTGGCCAAGAGGGGTTCAGCGAAATCTTTAGCTATTGAAATAACGATTAAAATGAAATTGAGTTGTAAAAGAATAGATGGGTAATCGTGAGAAATGAGTTTTTTACGTTTTTCTTGCTCAGGATCAGCTTCAGCCATTGTCCAAAATGTTCAAAATGTCAAAAGACAAAAGTTTGTCGCAAGACACAGCACGCGTTTGAAATGAATAACTGCAAATGTGTGGTGTTTTTGTTTATATTCGGGTGAGACGTGAGAATTCGTGACACCAGAAAACGTGAGAATTCGTCAAGCCAGAATAGGAGATACCCTCGTATTCAAATCAGAATAGGATATACCCCTATCCCTATTCAGATTTTTGTCAAACTAGTAAGGGATACCCCCTATCCCAATTCAGATCTTTTGTCAAACCGGTATGGGGATACCCCCTATCCCTATTCAAATTGATTGGTCAAATCGATATAATTATATTTCCTTTCTCTAATCAGGTTTTTTGGTGACGTCAAAGTTTGGCGCCTTCAGTGAGAAAAAATTGCTTTAATCATGTCCAAAAGAAAGAAATCAGAAGACGAGTCCGATAAGGAATTGTTGAATTTTATTAAAGAAGAAACGATACAACGCCAACACAAAGAGGGTGTGTCTATCGTGACGCAACTAACCACAAAGCTGTAAATTGTAACAAGTTCATGACAGTTGGAGACCGCAGGAAGCAATTAGGTCTGAAACAACTGTGTTTTAATTGCACAGGAAGTCGACACCGCGCTTCTGAGTGCAAATGCCGTTCTGGCTGCCAGATCTGCAGCCGAAGACATCATACATCGATCTGTGACAAACATACATCGCGAGACCAGCTGATGACCACAAAGAGCGTAGAAAGGAAAGGAGTGGTGTATCCTATGGTTACAGTTGACGTGAATTGTGTTAAGTGTCGAGCATTGTTGGATACGGGAGCCGGAAAAAACTGAAATTGAAACGCACACCAACTTGAAATGAAATGCATACAAACTTTAGAATAAAAACGCACGCAAACTTAAAATAGAACGTACGCAAACTTAAAAAAATTTGAACACAAACGTAAAGTCAAACGGACACAAACTTAAAATGAAACGCCCGGACTTTTAAAAAGTTAAATAAACGGACCCAAACCTAAAATAAAGCGAATACAAACTTAAAATTAAACGAACACAAACTTAAAATCGAACGAACACAAAACTTAAAGTTGGAAACGAACACAAACTTAAATTAAACGAACAGAAACAAATAATGAGGCCAGGCTGCTAAGTATACGAACCACATGTACGCTTCGCTGCCGCCATTTTCATGTGCTGCCAACTGGCAAGGAAGAGTTGAGCATTCTATGTACTATTATTTTACTTGCATATTTTTTTGGCTGTAAGGAAATCGAGGACAATTTATTTTCTTAGTTTGTACTTCTTGTGTCTAATAATATACAAAATTCTCATGTCAAAGCTATTTAGACCGAAAACGACGATGACACGATGGTCGGTTGCTATGTAAATTCCTCCCGTTGCTATCTTAGAGGTCACGTGATGACGCGTTCACGGCTTGAGCTGATTTAAGGCGTCAAGCTAAAGGGCTTTTTTCAGTCGTTTATTTTACATTGGATAAAGCTTACCAACCTTCTTTTTTTCATATTGAATGACTATGGCCTTTCACTTATGGCAGAAGAAAGAAAAAATCAGGTTTTTCGAATGACTTCTCCACGAAACGGCTCGTCTAAGATAGGTACGCTGCCGGCTAGCAACGGGTTTACAGAAGCCAATACGTCAACACAACCGCTGTGATTTCTGTATTTCTAGAGTCCTGGTACTGAGAGAACAATTTTTTACTTAGGGGGCTCCACTTTTAAGACAAACGCAGAACAAAAACGAAGAAAATACACCCAAAATACCTGTCCTCCTCCCTGAAAAGTATAATTTTGACCGTTTAGTAACCGAGCGTGCCATAAATCGAAAGTTGAAAGTGGACTTTGGTGTAAATGGCGTCGTTTTCGCCGATTTCTTCGGAGGAATCCAGGTAAGAAAATGTCCTGTAAACTCGATTTTCTCCGTTGATCAGTTTAGGCCGCCATCTTGAATTTCCTCAGGCTAAATGTCGAGTGTTTTATTTCATCTGTAGCCCTGAAGGAGACCGTAAATGTTGCGGAAAAAGCCGAAAATGCAGCAAAGGGAAAGGCCATGTGGGCAAATGTGATTCGAAACGACAAGTAAATTGTTTCTGGGAAACATCGCCCATTTTAACATTCATAAGGAGCGCCAAACGCTCCAAGACAACTTTCGCCATCTTCAAGTCCAAGAAGATGCTTTATCCAAGAAGGAGCAAGATATCTTGGCTTTACAAAGGAGACAGATTCTCTAGTGGAGGAATCAGGTTAGTTTCCTACTTGTAAGTGGGTTAGTTGCGGCAAGATAAACGGAATTGATTACTATTTATTCATTTATTTGCCGTTTTGGAATTGTCATTATTTTGATGATGATTCCCTATCCTTGTTTATAGAAAGAGCACTGCAAAAATCAAAAGGAGAGAAAGAGACACTAGACAAAGAAATAAGTGAAGCAGAGGAGACACTGAGAGAACTAAAGGAGGCATATGAGAAAGTGAAAAAGCTGTTGGAGCAGAAGGATTATTCCCGAAGTCGAAGGAGTGCTGCTAGCACATCATATGAAATGATTAATGATTATAAGTCGAGCACTAGATATAGGAGAAGGGAAGAAACTAAAAACATTTTAGAATTTATTCATGGGGGTTTTGAAGCTTCATTATATGGGGCATGGGATTTTTGGCTGCCAATGCAAGTAATGAAACCATGACCAAATTAATGAGTAGTTATAAGAGGGACGATTTCTTCAGGGTATTTTTTGAGAGAGAGCCATTAATGATTTTCAGAAGTCAGAAGAAGTACTGAAACAGTCTGTGGCACTTAAATATCAGAGTTATCTGTCTAGAAGAAAGTATAATCTTGTCTGTAAAACACAAAGTTCATTTTTAATGCTGAAAAAAAGAAGTCTGGCTGCCACGTAACATTAAATGTCTTGGAGTTGACTTAAGGTTACCCAAGCTCAGCTTCTCAGATGACAATGTTGACAAGTTTGTGAAAAGTTTAGACATTGGTCATGTCACACAGATCCCAGGGGTATCAGGTGTTTCTCGCACAGTCACTGGCCTGGTGTTTATGATTATTGATTTGCACTTGAGAGTTCCCCATCTTTCTCGTAAACTTGTCTGGTTCAATGAAAATGAAAATCATTTTATTTTTCAGTTCTCAGATGATGGAGCTCCTGAAACAAATGAGCTGACAATGTCAATAGGAAGTATGGTGTGCTGGAACTTTGGAGATCAGGTACGAAGTAGGGACTTCCAGTACCTCCTCCACTGTGTAAGTGTAGAAGAGAAAGATCAAATAATGCATGACCTCTGGAAGCAGCACACTGAAGAGATAAAAATGTTGGAAGGTAATGTTTTGACTGTTTGTGATAAGGAGTGCACTGTTGAATTTCAGCCTGGAGCAGACATGTCCTGGCAGAGCTGGGCTGCCAATGAACTCAACCAGGCAGCTACATATCCTTCCCCATATGCAAATGTTCATAAAGGAAACATGAACACTATGGGGGGGTAGTATTGGAGTGGGTAAAGATGACACCTGGAAGCCTTACACTATGGAAATGAGAACCTCTAATACTGAGAAGGTAAACAATTTTATCGCCTCTCTTCCCCCCAAACCTTTCAGAAAAAAATAAAAATTCCAGAAAGTTGCAGTTTATGGCTGAAAATGGCATCCGACAGTTAGGTCTACCAAGGATTGGGCATTTTGCAGACAAGTTAAGGCCAGAACCCATGCACTGTGAGATCAATGCCTGGCAGCATTATATTGATCTCCTATATCTAGAGGCAGTAAGAAGAGGAAAGTTTGATCCTTTTGTTTCTGCCCTGGTAGCACCTATAGGGAATAGAGATGGAGATGTTAAGGTGGGACAACCCCAAAAGACTCTTTTGAGGGTTTCTGATATAGACAGTGTTGGGGAACGTGCCAGAAAGCAGGAAATGTTGCAGAAATCAGAGGAGGACCTAAAACAATACCTGCAGAAGACAGGTTTTCCTCATGTAAAGCATGCAACAGGTGAGGGGGGGTGGACTGGGATACTTGGCTTCAAGAGTAAAAGAACATTTTAGTGATGAAACTAACAGGTATAACAAATTACCAGTTAGGCTTATTGGCAATCAAGCTATTGCATTGGCTCGATATTACTACCGTTTAGTTGACACTTTAGAAAATGAAGATGAAACAGAGGCACAAACAATCCAACGACTGGCTCTTAGCAAGATAGGTGAGTGTCTGAGAAATGCTGGGGGGCTTTTTAATAGAATAGAGACCAATTCTGCTCAGGTTGCAGAACTGAAAGAAATGTGTAGTATGTATTTTAACCTGATGTCTTTGTTTTTTTCATCCAGCGTTAATGTCACAACATGGACAATTGGATATGCCATTCCCTATCATGCAAATTTGCTGTGTACAAGGTATGGGGTGGGCTATGGCATTGTCTCTTTGCAGGCTAAAGAGGCCAAACATTCTGGAGTGAAGGAAGATTTGACCTTAACTAACCGGTCAAATGTAAGTACTGCCACTGGTAAATGGTGGCAAGTAATGCGAAGTAATTATGTTCGCTCATTTTACCTCCCAGAACATCAACCAATGCCCTCTTCTTATACCTCACACTACCAATCACGTTCTCCACCACACTGTTACCAATCAAATGTTTGTAATTGTGGTAGAAATAAAGAAAACGATTTGCTCAGTTGTCAAGTTTGTTTCTCTACTATTAACCTTGTGACTTGTGCAAGCAGAGGTCTGACAGAATCAGTGTTGTGTGCACTAAAACCTGTTGTCTGTAAACAGTGCAATACTCGCTTTGCTGATAACCTGTCATTATTGTCTCATTTAAAGTTCTGCAATGCCACTGAGGTAAGAAAGGTAGCTATCCAGCCAACTTTGATGACAGTACCTAGTTTAAAGGAAGCTTTTCGAAGTAGAGGATTAAGCACTGCAGGTACTAAGGAAATTCTAATTAAGCGCCTTGAAGGTGCATTGGCTGGGGAGGGGTAGTTGAATTATTTTTTAATCAACAGTTTAAATCTCTCAAAATATTTGATTTTCAAGTTATTTTTCTTGACCAAGTTGGTGCACAATAAGGCATACTTGTTATGAGAATGATAACTAGGCTCTCAACAAATTCTGTGTACCAGTAATGTGAGTAATATACCTACTTCATAAGAAAAATATATTTAAATTGGTGCAAAGTTTTTTAAATTAGCTATGTTTGTCGGAGAGGTTAAACCTGTCCAAATGCAAAAGTACTGTTGTCACTGATATCACTTGGTATGCACTGATATATTACATTTAAAACTTTATAAACCCATTATTTTTTTTAACTAACTTGCATTTTAGAGTCAGGGTTTCTGCTCTAATGAATTTATGGAATTTTGTACTTAAAGGTTTGGCCACTTAAGCCTTTACATGCCAACAATAGCATGAATATTCTCTATACTGTTCTCAATATATTTTACAAGGTGTTGACAAGGAGAATTTGCTAAATAATCAAGAGCTTCATTAGTTAATAATTATTTCCCTCATTCTTGTGACCTTATATTTAATTTGGGGTTAATATTGTAAGAAGAAATTAGATTCTAGACATTGTAAGGGGTCAAAGGGTCAATAACTAGTGACCCAGCATTTTGCTTATGTGGACACAATACATTTGTTTTATTTATGGATTTGTCTCAAATAAAAGGTAAACGAATTTGCAGCTTGATAGTTTTAAGAGTAAGATGAAGTATACACAGATAAATGAAATTTGTATCTAAAAGGAGTAATTCTGTATACTGATAGATAATTTCATAAATGAGTCAGACATCATTGTTAGTCAAATAATAAAAAAGCTTTCAGCTATTATGTTTAGGTAAAACCATAATTCTATTTATTCACTCCAATGTATTACAGTCTACAAGATACGAAGATTAAATTTTAAAATATCTCCTTGTATTAAAAACATGTTTCCTTTAGAACTTTGTTTCAGATTACATTCAAGGTTGTCATTCTTTTGATGTATGAAGTTTCGTGACAAGGTCTAACAAAACATTAGCAAGTCCTACTGTTAATTAACTGTCAAGCTAGATAGTGTTCAAATTCAATAGCTTTTGCATATTGGAGTCCTTTGCAAATCCTTCTCGATCATAGCGCTGCACGCAAAATGTGGTTACTACCCTTTGTTGTTCTGCTGAATAAACCATTTGCAGCGGCGTAGTTGGTGTTACAACAACAATTGACTTGCCGCTGTAACTTTGAAGCACGCGACCATCCTCGGGGATTTTCTCGAAGTGCCGCTTCTTGAGAAAATTCTCTCCTTTAAATCTCGCGGGAGACCAAATTTTTTCTGCAGTGTCGAGCCTTTGGAAAGTTAGCGTTATTCTCTCACCATTCTAGGTTGTGTCCGCGCTTCCCCCGTAGCCCTGCACTAAAACCCAGATATGTTTAAAGATTTGAAATGGCATAAAGAGAGTGATGGGCGCCATAAGACCGGTCATTCTAGAGCGAGCGAGCTTCGCATTAATAGAGAGCCCGATCTCCTTTAGGAAGCCATCCACCAAGGGACCTATAAGCTCCAGCTTATTGCCTGTGAGTTCTTCCAACACGGGATCAAGGTCTCTCATCCCGTAATTAGGTTTATTTTCTGCGAAACGAACCCTCCTCAACCATTCTTTCTCCGTAGAGAACTTCATCTCTACGGAGTTGGTATTCCAAAACCGGTCTCCTCTCTCTGTTTCATCCTCCATGCCGAAGTGCCTTAAACAGAGTTTGTTTGATGTGCTCGCGCTGTTATTATTTGCCGCCATTTTTGAATAGGCCTTTACTTTTCGTGCCAACTGCCGCTGATGATTTCTGCGCCAGCGCGCATCAGAGTTGCGGGAGGAAAACCCATGGCAACCGACCATCGTGTGAGTGAAAATGTCTATTCATGGCAGGGCTCGCCATCGTGGAAAGAGTACGAGTCGACAAACTTCATATAGCATAATGACAGATCCATTATGTCCCCAGGGTATATACGTTCTGTATCCTTGCCGTAACATAATCGGGTGGTTTTTCCGCTAGTGGGGATTCGAAGTTAGGACCGCAAGCACGAACCTGTATATAATGTAAAGAGAATTTCTCAATTCCAGATCCTAGCATTGTGTGAGCAACCATGTGCTCACTCATCGTGGAACATTGAGCATTGTCGTTGCATGAGTCAAGATCGAAATTAAACGGTGATTTATGATAGGAAATGCATAGTTGATGTGTTTTCGACGCATAAATTAACTCTAGCAATCGATGGAAAAATTAAGTCAACTCTTGCCGTTTTTGAACCTCTGGTACGTCATTTTCATTGCAATAACTTATAACAAAAAAAACTTATGCAAAAAAAAATTGGACTTGGCTCGAACTTGAATCGTGCTACGATAATACTTATAGAACATTACCCTTGGCCTTGCATTTGCTTTGTTTCTATACTATAGTAGACCTGAGGCTACATTCACACGGTGCCGAACGAATTTTCGACCGGCCGAAAATTTCGACCGGACATTCTGTTCACACGGAACCGTGCAAAAGTTTCCTTCTGTTCAGATGGAACTGATAACCGGATGAAGTTCGTGACACTTGTCAGTGGTTTTACCATCTCCTCATGCGCACAACGTTTCTTTAACCAAATGCAAAATGGCGTCTAGAAAGAGAAAAGCCAATTCGAATGGTAGCACGGATAACGAATATTTCACTCGGACGGATGAGGAGACAGCACTACTGCTTAATGTTGCTTTATCATATAAAAATGAGAAAACGTGCGAGGGGGAAGAATGGGAATCGATACGAACAAGGTATGAGGAATTACAAGAACTTTTCATTGAAAGATATCCAAACAACGATGAATTCGAAGTAGACCCAGCACAGTTTCCAAACTGTAAGGATACTAGCATATTCTCCAACGAAAAGATTCGCAGCAAATGACCCTGCAAGGGAGGATAACACTGGTGTGACAACCTCGGATGAAAGTGCCAAGGATGCAGTTGAAAAAACTGTTGATGCAAGAAGAAACTTAATTTCTAAGCTAAAAGAGAAAAAAAAAAAATTCCAAGCTTACGAAGAAAACCACAACAGAAAACAGAATGTTAACCCTTGGACACGAAGAACTTTAGTTGAAAAAGAGAATGATCGATAAGCTTGAAAAGTCAGAAGAAAAATACATGGAGAGTATACAAAGTTTTACCGCTAGTTTACATTCTTTAAGCTCCACATTGCAGAATGGATTCAACATGCTGGGGATGATGATGCATCAGAATCATCAGCAGAACCAGCATCTGCAGTACAACCATCCCCAATATCAGCAACAGCAAAGCAACATGTCAGGTGTTTAGCATTTACAGGATCCTTCTCATTTTAATAAGTGTTGAACATTAACATTCACATCGTGTCTACTCTAACTGTTGGATTGTGCACTGTTTTAGCACTCTGTTAACAAAGTTGAGTTGTGTTTATTTTATGCACTGCCAGTTTGCCTGCTCACTAGGCAGAAAGACATGGGTAGGCTTACCTTGTTATTGCACTATTTACCTCAGAGATTTTCAGAGATTTTCAGAGATTTTTTACCAACACATCGTCGCCTACGTGCCTGGTAAGCTCGGCATGTCCTAAACATTTGTAAGATGATATTATGTACCAAAGCTGTAATATTACCGAGCACCGCAATCAATAAACCAACCCGTTCCATCTTCGTATAAAATTGTAAACATATTATTTAACTTAGTTACCACGCATCCATGCAGCCGCGCCTACGCCGTACGAAAATTCGGACGTGAAAGGTGCTCACACCGCGGCGGTCAAATAATTGACTGCACCGGCTAAAAATTCGTCCTCAATCTTGGTGTTCAAATTTTTGAACGCTTGAACGTCCAAATTTTCGTACGTTTGGCGTGCTTCCATGTGAACGAAACGCCTAAACGCACAAATTTTCGGCCGGTCGAAAATTCGTCTAGCACCGTGTGAACGTAGCCTGAATTACAGTTTAATCTGTTGAAGAGGTGGTATAGAAAATTGTAAATTTGCACAGGGAAATAAATTATGGTACCTCAGAAAAAGTTTTCATAACCCTAATTACGAACATTTTTTATTTAGGATGTTTTGTTCAGTTTGCGGTGCTGCAAATATTGGAACAGCCTCTTTTTTTTGTGGTTCATGTGGTACTCGGTACTCCTCTGCAGCTGGACCCAGTACATCTTCTGTTAGCGGCTCTGACAGTTTGACATTTGAAGAGTTTGTGAGACAAAGAGCAAGTGCTAGAGACCAAACCTTTTTTAACTGTGCTGTGAAAAGGCAGAGAAAGAAAAGCAAATGGAATAAGATTGTGCATGTAGCCTGTGTGTAAAAAGAAAACATTCATAATGTATGTACCTTGATGAATTAAGGATTTTTCAACAGGTGGAAAATACTGTACGCCTGCAAACAGTCAGTCAATTATATTTTTTCTCTTTGATTCTCTTTGTGTTGTATTGTGTGGTATTGTACATGTTAAGAGGTAGAAAAAGTGGCCTGTGTTCATCTCTATATTTTTGTACGTTGATGTTTTAGACCTAAGGTTAGAAGATTCAAGTGAGGAAGAAGACTCTAGCAATGAAGTTGAGGTGGAGATTGATGAAGAGACCATTATCAAATATTATTTTCAACGCGGTTTTAGTAAGTCGATCCAATTCAGGAGGCGATTGACGACCTACTTCTTCCAACTTTGTTCGGTCAATCAGAGCCTCTCCCTAACGGGGTGCGTCTACTTGTCACCTTACAAGCGGCTCAAGGGGGTCTGGGCATGCCAAATTTGAGAGCTAAGGCGCCACAACAGTTTGTTGCCTCGGAGTCAATAACTACTGCGCACGTAGATTCTATCACATCGCAGAGAACATTTATGGCGCCAGGCGAAAGCTCTACGGAGGAGCTTAAGAGACATCATCGGCAACTTAAGATGGCGCGTGACAAAGAGAAATTGGAAAGCATTGATTCAACTCTATCCCTAGATCTGCTGCGACTAGTTAATCAATTGAGAGACAAGGGCGCAAGTTCTTGGTTAAATGCAATGTTTTTCGCAGATCAGGGCTTAGCCCTTAATAAACAGGAGTTTAGAGACTCGCTACGCTTACGGTATAATTTGTCTCTAGTCAATCTACAAAGTCTATGTGTGTGGGGATAAATTTACTGTAGGCCATGCCCTCTCATGTAAAAAGGAGGGCTTTGTAGCGCGGAGACATGATGGTGTCCGTGATTTATTAACGGCATTCATCAATAAGGTCTGCAACAAAGTGGAAATTGAACCACGCCTTCAACCCCTCGACAACGAACGGCTACATTTGAGAGGTGCCGTCACAAGCTCTGAGGCAAGATTAGACATCAAGGCGGGAGGTTTCTGGTCAAGAGGAATTACGGCATTTTTCGATGTAAGAGTTACGCACGTTAACTCCAAGTGTTACCAAAACAAGACAACATCTGAAGTATTCAAGGAGCAAGAGGACGAGAAGAAACGCAAGTACCAGCAGCGGGTACTAGATGTAGAGATTGGTTCATTCACACCTTTAGTGTCTGGAACCAATGGCGGAATGGGATATGAGTTTCAGCGTTTCCAGAAGCATCTTGCAGATAAGATAGCTCAGAAGGACACCGAGCCGTATAACACCGTTATCGCATGGCTCAGGACACAAATCTCGTTCGAATTTCTAAGATTGGTACACGCATGCGTGAGAGGTTCACGAACGCCTTTTGACAGCAAGATAGAACACTCTTTAGACTGCAAAATAAACGTCGCCACCGCGGGCATCTAGAGGTTTTTTTTTTTCTGTTTTTTTTTTCGGCAATTTTCAAGCTAAATGCTTTTGTATTATTCATGATTTTGAATTTATATGAAATTTCGTATATTAATTTTATCAATTGTATTTTGTAAATAATCTTGAATTGTGAATAAAGTTATTAATTTTAGATAAAAGATTTTGGAAATAATCAGGAATGTTTTGGTCTTTACCTTCGCGCTCTCTGACTGTTTGCAGGCGTACAGTATTTTCCACCTATTGAAAAATCCTTAATTCATCAAGGCACATACATTATAAATGTTTTCTTCTTACACACAGGCTACATGCACAAACTTATTCCAGACACGTGCTAATGTGCTAATTTGTAACAGTGTCTTCTCACGCCTATCGTTATTTAGAACTAAAAGAAATTCAAATACGAACACTTTAAATTAAGAAACGTACCTCTACCACAGCTTTTACAAAAATTTGCATCTTCATCAACCTCCGAACCACACGCGGTGCAAAACATCGTGAGCTCGAAAAATGGCGGTTTTCGAGCGAGCAGTGTGTTATTGTTACACGACCTATCATTTCAGATGCAAATAACAACCGCTGACCAACCAATGACCAACTCATTTTCTTTGTTTTGCCGTGAGTTAATTTTGTTTTGCCGTGAGTAAAGTTTGTAGTGCCGTGACTTTTTGTTTTGCCGTGACAGTTTTGGGCCACCGTAGAATTATGTATGGAAATTTTTGCGTGCGCGTTTGGGTTGGACCATCCTGTGACGTTGCATGATGTATCATTCGTGCCACAAACAGGGCGTGCGTGCGGGTGTAAATTACAGAAGTGTTATCAGAGTATAATGGGAAACAGCTGTTAAAATCAAGTTCTCAGGAAATAGCTTGGGATTTTAGTAAACCAAAAATAAGTTATGTCAATCTTCGTTATACAAGTAGTTTAGACGTGTATTTCCGTTGTAATAGCAGATAAATAGAAGGTAGAAAGTTCGGATAACTCCAAGAAATCAGAGAGATACAGTCTTATTGATTGTCGAAGCAGCGCTCCGCATAGATTTTCCTTAACGCATTGGAGAAATCTACAACACAGCTATTTGAAAAGTGAAGCTCAACCAATTCAGTAGTGAAAAGCAATGGCAACAACACGTGGTAAAGGTTCCTCACTACCTCATTCGAAAGATGGAAAAAGGGATAAGCGCCATCATTCCGGTAGAAAGTGGTACTTCGCAAAAGTAGAAAACGGAGAGGTACGCACGCTGCACCACCATAATAAATCCCCTATTCTATCACAGGACGGCACTGATCCTGGGTCTGTTGTTCAGATGAAGCCCGCGGTTGGAGATCTAAGGAAACTCGAGGTACATTTTGAGCTCTGAACATTTTAAGCTTCAGTTAGAAGGAAAGAGTATTTTTCTCGCAAGAAAGATCTCTTGAGTTTGCACGAGTGAAAGATCATTTTTTGCCATACGGTTGAAAAATAAGTTTGAGGAAAAGAAAATTGTTCTCACTTCTTAGATTAGCCGTATTCAGGTATGGTTAGTTTGTATTCTGAAAGTATTTACTTTGGCTTCCAAAAAAGTCCCCACTCAGTTTAGCTGGCCTGTCTATGACAATGGATTTCCCAGCTTTTGGCTTTTTTTTTAATCTTACTCTGACCATGCACTCTTTATATTTTTGCTACCTACATACCGTATTTAAAGAAAACAACTTTGCCTTAGTTTTGGTGGCTTATATGACATTTCCCATGCAAATCTGAAGCGTTTTGCAATGCGGGCACAATAGCAATTATTCTGCTAACACATTCCAAAAGTACCGCCGGAAAGTTCCGCTTTCGGACTCCTTCTGCTAATTCTTGGTTTTCACTCACGTGACCCATACCTTGACAACGGTTGCTACGCCGCCATATTGGTGTCGTATAATTCAAACATTTCGCGTGTTATCAAAGCTTTAGAAATATTTTTCATCATGGTTCATTGTATTATGGTGATTGTTTTCATAATAGTGGAAAGACGAAAGGTATAGGGTTTTATAGGATTCCAGTAGTAGGCACTAACCAAGGAGAAAAAGCAGAAGAGCTAAGCAGAGAACGAAGAGAAAGATGGATCGCCGCCATTAGCCGCGACGACATCACTTCGAAGGATGTCCTCAGTAATGAAAGAGTCTGTGGACGACATTTCGTGTCAGGGCAATCTGCAAAACCCTGGGATAAGTACAACGTCGACTGGGTTCCTACTTTGAATCTCGGAAGACAAAATATCAACAGGAAAACCACGACATTAAAGAGGCAAAGAGCTAAACGAGCGAAGGAACGCCGCAAAAGATCACTCGAGCATCAAGAACGCGAGGTAGCTGAGAAACGAAAGAAAATCGATGTCAGTGGCCTTCCCGTCCGTGATATGGATTTCAGTGATCCTAAAGAAGGATCTTCCAAGGAAATTGATTCTTCTGAGGATATTTTTGATCACGATTGCGCATTTCAAGACCACACCTGCTCAACTCTCGTTGACAGTTCAACTCAAACCCAAGTTGATGTATCTGAAGCTATGACTCAAACCGAAGAGTTTGAATACCTTTTCAAAGAATCATATAAGCCAATTGATCGAGATTTTTTTTTTCTGATGAAAAAGTTCGCTTTTATTCTGGACTGCCTTCAATGGATATCTTAATGACTGTCCTTGACTTTATGTCACCCCACATCAAACGAAGAACCCAAACACTTAGCCTTTTCCAGGAAATGATTATCGTGCTGATGAAAGTGAGACTGAATATACCTTATCAAGACTTAGCCTATCGTTTTCAAGTATCTGTGACAACAATATCAAGAATATTTTCATCATGGTTACCAGTGATGGATCAGCATTTGTCCCCACTTATTTACTGGCCTGAAAGACACCAGCTATGGAAGACAATGCCTTTTTGTTTCCAACAAGCCTTTGGAACCAAAGTCACTGTTGTTATTGACTGTTTTGAGATTTTTATTGATAAGCCTACAAACTTGTTAGCTCGAGCTCAGACATTTTCATCCTACTAGCATCACAATACTATCAAAGTACTGATTGGTATTTCTCCCCAAGGAGCTATTTCCTTTGTGTCAGAGGCATGGGGAGGACGTACCTCTGATAAGTTCTTGACAGAAAACTGCGGCATTCTTGAAAAACTTTTGCCAGGTGACATGGTTATGGCAGACCGGGGTTTCACAATCACAGAAAGTGTTGCTCTCAAACAGGCAAGACTCGTGATACCAGCCTACACGAAAGGGAGGAACAGCTGGATCCTATTGATGTGGAAAAAACAAGAGCTCTAGCAAGTGTACGGATACATGTTGAAAGGGTGATTGGTTTGCTGCGTCGCAAGTATACCATTCTTTAAAGCACTCTTCCCACTGGTTTCTTGAACAATGACAATGGACAGGATGAAGTACCAATTATTGACAGAATTATTAAAGTATGTTCAGCTCTTGTAAACCTGTGTCCACCCATTGTACCATTTGATTAGCTCCATACTTCATACAGTACTATTATAGTCATATACTGTAGCTAATGAAATGATATGATGGGGTGGAGAGTCTGTGTATAATTTAAGAAATATTATAACCCCATGAAAAGAGAGCAAGTGAATGGAAATGAGCACTGTGTAAGATCAATAATTTAAAAAAATAAACTTCCATTACAAGAAGGATCGACAGCAATGACACCAACATTTTATTTGTGCTGTGATATTACATATATTTACAGAAATTATATGAATTAAAATATAAATTATGTTTGCAGGGGGCAGTAAGGACTGTTTATTGAGCACAGCTGCTTAAAATAGCTTGAGTTCATTATTCTTCTTGGATTTTTTTTTTTTTTTGACTGCTACTCTTGAGATTAGCATGAAACAACAAAACAAAATTGTTTAGTGTAAAATGTATAAAAAAAATGTGGAAAAACTTTGATTTCACCAGCTCTCAAACATTCAAGTAAATGTGGTCTCATTCTTGGGATGTCAAAAATAATTGTTTGCAAAACATAATTTCAAACAGGTGCAGCAATTTTATGCTTCCTGGTGTACCATCTTCCTAAGATTTCAGGTAGGATACAAGATCTCCACACTTTGGTGAGTTTTGGAAGAACTGATCCCCAGTGTGAAATGTCCTTGTAAATTCTCTCCAAGAAAAACCTTGTTTGATTGTTATTGTCAAAAGAGCACACAACAAAGTCACAATACTGAGAGTCTGTGATAAACAACTGTTGCTGTACTTGAAAAAAGTACTGGTGATTTCTCTTGAGCTGTACCTTTCCATTGACCTTTTCAAGACATGAATTCTTCTTTTCCACATAACTTTCAAGGTCACAGTTTTCAATGTTGTAAGGACATTTGACTTCTCCACAACCATTCCCACAGCATGAACATGATACCAAAAAATCTGGAGTAGCATTTATCCAGGGGTGCTGTTTATCCACTATCATACCACATTGTTCAACTTTCGGATCTCTGTGAGTCTCTAGCATAGTCTTGGTATAAGCATTCACTGCAGCACTCTCATTCTTACGGCCATGACTGATTGCTTTAGTAGTAACTTTGAACAGATCAGGATATGAGATGGACTTGATTAAGGATTGTGATGGCATAGCAGGGTTAGTATGAGCTACTGCCCAACTCAGAGATGCACCAATGCGCCCAGCCCTGTGCCTGAAAAATGCATTTCCTTTAGCCTGTTCCCTGGTGTCTTCCTCAATTAATTCTACCAATGATTCTGAAATAGTCAGATCAATATTTTCACACTTTTCTAGGAGTTCTGGATATGACAAGTCAAAATTACATGGATCAAAAAGGTCAGAAATGGTTGGGATGCTTCTACTTTTCATGATAAACTGTTCAGAATAGGGTTCAATCAAGCTTAAGGCAACAGGTTTGAACTTGCTCTCATTTAGTTTGGCAAGCAACGTCATGCTGTGACGTCACGTGAAAACCAAGAATAGATCTATTGTCTTTGGATGAAGCGGCGATGCAAATTTCCCTTTCGTAAACGGT